TTTTGTCGCAAAGAAGTGTGTCTGAATGGATAGAGAAGTTCTAGGAAGGTCGCACAAGTTTTAACCATCAAGAAGGAGCCGGACGCACGTCCACGGCTGATGACAATATTGAGTGTACAGATAAAATGATTCTGTCGAATAGCTCAGTGACATTGGATTATGTGGCAAACCATTCGCAAATCTGAAAGCAGCCCTTATAGGACGAAGTTTCACCTCTGATGAAGAAGTGAAGACAGCAGTGATTTCATAGATCGCAGCTCAGTCTAAAACTTTTTTTATTGAGTGAATACGAAAGCTTGCTGACAGGTGGACAAAGTGTATTCAAGTGCCTCTTAAAATGAAGAATATCCTCTTGCCATTTCTTGCGTTGTGAATCTCTTTGGTTCTTCAGTTACTTCTTCTTCCTCTTGACTCTCCTCGTCCTTTCTCTGGGCCTCCAATTCCATCAGCTCTTCATCTCCTCGTGTTGTACTGCAAGGAGTTCATTGAAGGTGTTCTCACCGAGGATCACTAAGATGCTGAAGAGCTCTTTGTACTCCTCTTTCATTTTTTTTTCCCCCCCTCCTTACTGATCTAACTTCGGTCTGGCATCCTCCTTCCAGTACAGTCTTGTCTCATCCACATTAAACACCTGCTCAGGTAAATACTGGCCTTCATCATTGATTTCTCTAAGCATTTCAGTAAATTCCTGGACAGCTACCGTATCAGCACTCACCACTTACTTTTACATTGTAAAGGTTGGCTCTAGCCTTGAACTGATGAAACCAGCCATGGCTGACCTTGAAAGATGGGCCTTCTGAATCTTCACTGTGCTTCTTCAAGTCTTTATAAAAGCTTTCTCTTGAATCAGCATTAAAGGAGAACTATGAGGTGAGTGCTTCTCGCTCTCCTCATAGTTCTAGCCGACCTGTGACAATGAGACTGTCACAGGTCGGCTCAGTAGATCGGGAGGTGAGCGAACACATACCGGTGTTCGCTCACCTCTCGATCCTGTCACGGCTCTCTGCCGTGACAGGGGGAGGGCTGGATTGCCCCCTCCCCGCTCCGATCCTTCAGCGCTGACTGGCGCAACGTACGAGGAAGGGGTCGTGTACAGCTGGCTCTGCCTCTTAGATAGGCAGAGCCAGCTGTCACTCACGCAGCTGGGTGGATCCAGACATAATTGTCGGGATCCGCTTCAGCTGCGACGTCTCAGTATACCGCGAGCAGTAGCTTGCGGTATACTGCGGCGTCTCAGTATACCGCGAGCTGTGGCTCGCTGTATACTGAGCTTAGGGTGACGGGAGGACGCTAGTTTGTGTCCTCCCATTACCCTAAGGAGAACTATGGGGAAAAGCCCCAACCCTATAGTTCTCCTTTTAAGCTGAGCGGGACTCAACGCTAATACTGCATCCGCACACTGAGAAGTTTCTCCGTCTCCTCCATCACTTTTCCACTCTTCTATATCATTTTGGACATCATCGGCACAGTAGACTTCACATGTTCCATGATCTTGTTCTTTGAATGGTGCCAATGGTTGAGCGAATCATGCTATAAGAACGAGTGATGTCTACTATCTCTTCTACTACCTCACTCCAGTCTCTCAATTATTTTTCCTTTTTGTTTCCATTGTTATCGTTTTGGCGCGTCTTAGCATTAGCAGTACAAGCTACATCACCGCTGCTTTTACACTTGCTTCCGGACATCCTGGGCTAGATTCTGTACAGTAAAGTACACAAAAGCACAGCCACTTGTAGCAGACGCATGTACATGGCAATGGCCGCAAGACACGTGAACAAACTTGCATGATTGTCATGTGAACGCACGTTCTTATCTTTGAAAGTTCGCAACTTGAAGGTTCGTGTATAGGAGACTTGTTGTATATAGCCCCTTTGTGACTTCCTACAAAGTTACAATGTTGCAGTCTTAAGATTGAGGGGGATCATCCTTGGAGCAGACTGATCGTATCTATTTGACCTAGACAGAGACACACCACTGGGCCTCAAAGAAAATATATAGGTAAAGTTGTGAAAGATACAATTTCTTATATTATGGCATGTTAGGAATTTCTAGGAGTTACTGAAAGGAGTTAAATAAGTCCAATAAGCTGAATGGAGTCCCTCTGCAGAAATGCAAACCCACACTTTTCAATGCTTGCCCTACAATCCACGTATGTTTCCTCACAGTGAGGGGAGCACTACATACAACATTCCCTTGTGAGGTTTGTAGGGAGTTTAGGACCCTTTACCGCTACAGCAATTATCTTTGATGTGATTTAGGATTATTATCAATTTTTTTCTCTACATTTTCAGCAATTGGAGTTTCAGCTTGTTTTGATCTAATTATGAAGATGAGTCTTACATTATATGTCACTGGAAATTAATACAATGGATAACAGAAGCGGCCTTTTCATTTTAAATTTGTTAGACGTCAAAACCAGCATGCTGTCTTGTTGCGGTATGACACCCGTGCTTCTGTATTTAAATACATTTAACACTAACCTTGGCATTTTACATCCTTTTAATATAGGGGCAGAATGTGCAATGCTACTACCACCATTTTATTCTATAGGGTCTTGGCATTCAGAAAATATATAATGTTGGGGGGTTTTAAGTCATTTTCAGGCCTAAAATGTGGAATATAACATGGGTGCAAAAAATGAAAAAAGGGCCTCAGTCATGAAGGGGTTAATTTTCAACATCTCAAGTCATTACACTTGTAAATGATAAGACAGGTCATTTCCTTCCACCTCCATATTTGCATAGACGTATATAATGTAGCAGCTAGCAAGAACCTATGACATCTGTTTTTAAAATGTAATTAGATTGAAGAGAACTTTCTCCTGAGAGAAATACTGCTTCTGAAAATGCTAGTTGCCTTAATGCCACACTAAGGGCTTGTTCACACCAATTGCGTTGCGTTCTAGAGCGATAGCTGCTGGAACGCATCACAATCGCTCACAAAACTTCCCCATGCATTCTGGGGCGGGAGGGGACGTGGCGGTGCATTGAATTTGCCTGCGTTCCGTTCCACTGCAAACGCAAAAAATAGAGCAAGCAGCATTTTTTGCGTTTGCAGTGGAACAGAACGCAGGCAAAGTTTTAAAAAAAAGGGAGGGGACGTGGCACCGCCACGCCCCCTCCCACCCCAGAACGCAGGAGGAAGTTTTGTGAGCGATTGTGGTGCGTTCCAGCAGCTGCCGCTCTGGAAAGCACCGCAATTGGTGTGAACAAGCCCTAATCCTTTGACTTGAGGAAAGTCTAACATACTGATGTGGTTAAGGAGATCTCGCGTTTCTTACTGCTTGATGCACATCAGTGACCTTAGGCCAGGCAACTAGCATAAATGAGTAGCGGTCTTCACCTGTATAGTTTGTGAAGGGTTTTCCTTTAGCATAATTTAATACATTATTATAGTATTTTGACCTTAGTAGATTTAATCGCAGTCAGTGAAATTGCATATAATTTTAACATAATGTAAATTCAGAGTGCAGCAGCAGCAAAATGTTAAAGAGCTCTGGGGGAAAACAAAAAATCTTAACTCTTGTAGTACAGGGGTAGCTGCACTGCAAGGGTTAAGTGCTCGTTTGTGTCCAGGTTAAAAAAAAAAGTTATACTTGCCTGACCCTCGGAGCCTGCTTGATTTTTAGATTGGTCTCTGCAGCCTCTCTCACCCTCCCTCTGCTGCAGTGCTTTAAGGATCCTCGACTCATCACATTCTGTACACAGTGTATAGGACGTGAGAACGCAGAGGGACATGCCATCGCTGCTGGAGGGAGCGCTGTCAACGCTGGCCAAATCTGAGATTCTTCTTTTTTTTTTTTTTTTAAATCTAGACACAAACTAGCACTTAATCCTTGCAGTGCGGGGGTAGCCCCACTGCAAAGGCTAACTTTTTTTTTTTTTTCCTGGAGCGCAGCTTTAAAAGGGAGAAAAAAAGTGAAACCAGTTCACTGTCCAATCACAGGCTGGGGGAGGCATAAGACCTGTAAATGTTACTTAAAGCTGAACTACGGGGCATAGAAAAAAAAAGAAGACATTTGGTAGGTAAAAATGAATCATCTCTAATGATGGAGGTTCCATGTGTGGATATTACTGCATTAGGTAAAACTACTACTTTCATTGATCATGGGCACTACTGTAAGCGCTCAACTTCTAACACTGAAACCGATGGTCCTGGCTCTAGTACAGTGATGATAGAGGGTTACTCGCTCTCTGCCCTGTCCATTCACAAGACGTCTTGCATTGTTTATACTGAATACAAGGCGTTCTATACATGGGCAAGGTTGGGTAACTATGTTCATTCGTCCCTTCCCTCCCTTCATCCATTCACAGAATGCCTCATATTTTCTGAAAACAATACAAGACTTTGTGAATGGATAAAGTGGAGAATGAGTGGCCCACTATCATCTCTGTACTAGAGCCGGGACTGTCCCACTATCATCGCTGTACTAGAGCAGGGACTGTAAGTTTCATTGCTGGAGATTCGGTGAGTTCAGTAGTGTTCATGATGAATGAAAGTAAGGGTTTTACTTCTTGTAGCAGCATCACTGAGACCCCCATCATTGGAGATGATCTACTTGGCAAATGTAAAACATAATTTTTCCCGGAGTTCATCTTTAACTACAGCAGAAAAAATAATCTGTAGATGCAACGCCACCGTTTGAGCCACTCCAGCAGAGATAATGTGACCAGTGCTCAGCATTAGGTCATTATACTAACCATCGTGCGATCCTGGAGCAGTGGCTTCTGCAGTCTAGGTAATATTTTATGATTTTACAGGAGCTGGGAGGGAAATATTTTTGCAACAAGCAGCAGAGTTTTTTTTAAAGAAATACACAGCGACAACCAAATCAGTGATTACTAAAACAAGCTAATGGATTGCAGCTAAATAAAATGAGACACTTGAACTGGGGTCAGATTAATTTTGGAATGATATTCTCAGCAGTGGGGTAATGTAAAATCCATAACTTGTTTTACATCCTGTGTGGGCATCGTGGTAACCTCTTTTTATGATGTTAGGTTTTCAGTCGTGGAAGCCCGGCTTTATCAAGCGATAACAAAGACGGTCCTCAAGCCGGTTTCTTTCCTGTTCACCAGAATGTGATGCTGCCTCCCGACACTTTCAAAGGAAAAGTCGCCTTCATCACTGGTGGCGGTACAGGCCTTGGCAAAGGCATGACTACGGCACTATCTAGACTTGGAGCTGAATGCGTTATATCTAGCAGGTAATGCCCCATCCTAATCTAACCATAGACACTGGACAGCAGTCAAATATGCATGCAGGATACACCTGTCTTTCACTGTCACTGTAGGTGCAGCTCTTCACTAATAGAGGAACGGTTTGGCCGCATGAGGGTATTCATTTAAACAGCAGAGAAAAAAAGCTGTGGCTTCCCAAAACCAGCGTTTCCAAGGAGAAAATGATCCTGATCCGATTTCTAATCTGTCTGATCACTTGATCCCCTGAGAATAGCTATCCACGACTGTCTGAGGGTGCCCATTAGGCCATGGCATAAACAGCCCAAGCCTGACACCTGTACAACATGCTGGGGTGAATCAACTGGTTAGGGCTACGCTTCAGGGAGGTTGATCTCATAAATTTCCAGACTTGTTGGAATTCTCTATGCATCATGACCAGTCTTCTCTTGCTAATGAGGAATACAGAATGGAATCTATGTGGCATGTGTCTATTGGGTGATTTGTATGAGAAACAGTGGTAGGTCCCAGCTCTACAAAGGATGGGCTTGTCATTTTCAGGGGGCATCGATTTCTTATTGTACTATATTTGGAGTTGTAAACATTCCAACCCTTAGACTATGTTACAGGGCCTATACATGTAAAGACCGAGCCTTCCAGTCTTTTGCCATTTTACATGCTGACTGTTGGTCATACAAACTATTCTCAGACTGTAAGATTCGACACCTGAGCCAATATTGTTGCTGTATAACAGGATGGTTGCTATAGACCTCAAGAAAGACAAGTTTTAAATATGATTCTGTTTTCAGGAAATTGGATGTGTTGAAGGATACCGCAGCTGAGATCTCAGCGGAAACTGGAAATAAGGTAGTTTTTAACTTGCTGACTTTAATCTACTCCGTGTTGTAGGTATATGTTTTTAGACATTTCTCTTACTTGATTTTGCACGTTCAATCTGACTTGTTTACTATAAAATAAACATGCTACTACCCTTTGCACTAAGCGGTGCATTTATAACAAAAGAAAAAAAATACAGACACATTTCTCCTGTGAAACTACATGTACGTTCGTTCTGTGTGCATGGAGCCAAAAACGAATGTAATTAGTATTTGCTTTTAAAGCCGACAGTAATATCAGGAAAAATACCACAATATGGCTCTAGATGGGGCTGAAGAGCATAGGAAACGTATTTAGCACCATCAAGTGGCCATAATATGGTATTTCCCTAATATTACATTCCATTTGGAAAGAAAATTTATGTTTTTGCCTCCCTTCGCACAGAACGGATGTACATGGAATTTTGCAGGACAAATTGCTCTGCTATTTTTTTATAAATACACCCCTCCGTGATATATTTATCCCATTCATACACACTGACCCCATTCCTTCTATCCGTTCCACTTATTCTTGTTACTAATACTGGCCATTCTTTCAGAGATATATTACTCCTCACTTAGACATGTGTAGACATGACATTTGGAAAATTATTGTTTACTCATTTTCTTAATTTTCAGTGCAGTTATGGTCACCAATTAGCAAGATGGATGTCCTTGAATTAGTTTAGTGAAGGGCAGCAAAATTATTAAGGGGATCTGGAGGAACTCCGCTATGAGAAACGATAAGTAGATGCACTTTATTCACCTTGGAGAAGAGGTGGAGAAGAGACCTGTATCTCTAGCTTCAGTTCAATCAATGGTGACTGTAGCTGTGGGAACAAACTGATAAGTCTGAGGTCACAGATAAAGACATGCAGCCACAATTTGAGGTCGGCGGAAAGGAGGGTTAATCTGAAATTACACGGGGGTTCTTTACAGTTAACAGCAAAGAACTCTTCCTCAGGTAGTGGAATCAGCCGGGAGTGTTGACAACTATAAAATCTAGAATAGTCCAACAAAATCTTCACCTTTTGCCCATGCAGGGCCCTGGAGAATACATGTGAAAGAACTCCTAGACAAAGCAGAGTTACACCATACCATGTTCATGTCGGCCACCTTGCTACTTTTTGCTCCATTTTTTTTAGTATAATTTATATAACCGTTGTGACATAAGGAGAGGGGACATCATTGAGGGGCGGTATGTTTCCCCTCGCTTTCTATCCTATGTGCATGAATAGCGGAACCCTGACCAGGGTTTCGCTTTGACTTTGGGTCCGGATGGTCCAGCTCGGGCTTTGGGTCTCACCTGGATAGTTGATTGCTTGATGAATGCTTGTCCAGGTGAGATAAAAGGGGAAGGCTGAGACATGGTTTTGCTCTGGCCTGGGACTCAGACAGCCTTCTGAGAGAGCTACATGTTGGATGTGTTCATAGAGAAAAAGAACTTTGCTGCCTGGACTGTTTTTCCCAGGGAAGGTGATCCCCCATTCGAGCTATACCCCCACACCGTACAGACCACTTTAGGATCATTTCACACTGTCCGATCATGAGGGGAACTGTTCTCCTCCTGATCAGAACGGATGTAAAAAAAATAGACATTACCAGACCCATGTCGGTGTATGGGTAGCCAGATCTAAATGGACGGGCGTCAGTTTACATCTAGTTAACACCGATCTGGCACCAAACCAATATCTAATCAGTTTGTTTTTTCTGACCTGGCCAGAAGTTTTTACCACTAGGTAATAACACGTTTACTGACAGAAAGCAGGCAAAAGAGGTTGGGAATTTTAGAAGAGGTTTTTCTTCTTCCTTTTTTTTTTTTTTTTTTTTAAATAAAAATTTAGATCAGATTAAAAAAATGGAGGGGTTGGAGAAAGGAAACACAGAGGATTTGGATAGAAAAGGAAAACTGCCCTTCTAGAATGTATGATTTCTGTATAACTTATTTGGTGTAATAGAGGAATTTTGTCAGCAGCTGTATTTATGATGGTCTTTGGTGTCTGGCAGGTCCATGCTATTCAGTGTGATGTCAGGAATCCCGAGTCTGTTACAAAAGCTGTTGCTGAGCTGATTGAGGTGGCGGGACATCCAAATGTAAGTATGTTTTTCCCCAGGATGTGACTTTGCCATTTTTCTATACTCCGCTTAACCGCTTCCATAGAATAGTGTGCTGGTATTCTCTATATTGTACCTTTTAATATGCAGTTAGTAGTGTAATGCAATATATAATGTGTATACTGATGCACAATCTGATTTTATTCTACTTTACAAAGTTGTTAATGTGAGGAATTTACATAAATCTTTATAGTTTGCTAATTATATTGGTCTTAATACATTGTAGGGTTGATTTAACCAAATTACATTTTGTTCTTTTTTTCCTCTCCTCTCTCTACTCCCAGTGTTTACATAAAAGTAAAAGTTCATTGTAAAAAGATTGTACAGTCAGTTGTAACATGTTTGGTGAGCTTAAAGTAAAAAATTACATTAAAGGGTAGGGCAAAAAAATATGTAAAAGCTCAGAAGTGCCATACATTGTAGATAAATCAGGTAAGTAATAGTTCAGCAATTTGTGGTAGACCCAAAAAGTCATTTCTATGTATAGGGATGTTGGTGTTCATTGGGTCTAAAAACAGGTTGGTGTAGAGCTACTGAGATTTCGAAGTGTAGTGTTGCATCAGGAAGCAAGCAAAGAAGTCCATCAGGTGCTGTGTGTCTGGTGTTGTCACTCAAGCCTAGATAGCCATATGTATGTAGAATATCAGGATATGGTTCAGAGTACAAAGGGTACTAGTATGATAGGTGGGCAAGTAGCGATTCGAAGAGGTAGGGGGTGGACTGGAGGCTAGCAGGGGACCCTGCAGTGCAAGCACAAAAAAAAGAGTTGCAATAAAATCATTAATAGGTTTGCCATATTTTCAAGAATTTTTTTTGTGTATAAGCTCTAGTCCTCTTTTTAAGATATTTTCTTTCTTTTTTTACCACCTGTTCTAAAAAGCCTGTTCATCCCCATTAGCAATAAGGGTTATCCTAAGAAACAGAAGAAGGCTCACTTCTTGTGTCTGAAACCTCACACAGAACCATCAGAAGGTTCCTAAGATAACACACAGTGCTCTGGGAATCCATTGTCACATGTTGAATGTTTGTTTATAAAGCAAATATAGCATACAGGGAGTAAAAACAAGATAAAACATTTAATTTAAAATGTAAACATTTGAAGGGACACTGGGGCCTAGACCTACCCCTTTAGGAGTAACTGTGCGTCCTGAGAGTCCACTACCCCAGCAAGGTATGCTCACCCATCTGTGCTGCCCTGCCATCTTCCTGATGCAGGAGTCCATCCTGAGTAAGCTCCGGTGTAGGATGGTGTTGGAGCTTAACTGAGTGGATGATGTCACTGCTTCCTTCCCTTACATGCATTAGGCATGATCACTGTCACGTGGAGAGGTCACATGGTTCCCCATACCTGGAAGCCCCTCCAAAGAAGTTGGGGGACAGTTTCCTTTTAGCTCTTTTTCCACTGTAGAACCAAAAGCTCCTAATGGTAGATGCAAGTGTATAAGGCACTACTCTTTGTGCTGAATATGTTTGAGACCTGCAGCCTTATTTAATAAGCGTACAAACTACCTTCATGGCATTTAAGGTCGTTTAATTATAAAAATAATATAATTTATTATAAAAAAGTTGCAGCCGCGCTACTGCGGTAAACCCTGCCCAACCGCCATCCAGCTTGATTAGTCAGCCAATGATAGAAAGGAGAATGCACAGCCTGGTCTCTGATACCTTTCCTTTTTCATGGTCTGCAGAAGTGTTGCTCTCTACATTCTGCAGTGCTGATTGCATACCAGGACTGAGCACAAGGAAGGCACATCAGTTATTCGTTAAACAATTAATTCAAATCTAAAATGCCTTTTTTTAAACCCAAACCTAAATAATTTAACCCTTAGACACCTTGTGACTCCATTGTACTGCATCCTCAGCATACAAAATATGTTTGCTACATTTCACTTACTATTGATGAAACAATATCTACCACTACATAGAGTCCCTCTGTTTGTATCAGACATAAAGTTCTTTCAATTTTGGGTGAAGTTTTAGTGTAGTTTCCTTTTAGCTATGGTTCCCATTTTGTCCAGATTTTCCTGGTATGTGTGGTCTGTCCCTGACTTTGACACTCGTTATTTAATTCTGCACATTAGAAGAGTAAGGAAATCTTGAACACCACATGCCGCACTTTCTCATCTCCCCTGTACTACACTCCGCTGCAGAGGGGACTTTGTGTAAAGCTGGGGTAAGGATGAGCTGGAGCTGTGCGCTGTTTTGGGAATTAAGCCGCATGTTAGAAGAATGAGGAAAACTTTGCATTTCTTGATCTTCCCACTACCAAATTCTGCTGCGGAGGGGGCTTGGGTTGGAGGTGATGTCAGGAGTAGGTGGAGTCCTGCAGTGTTTTGGTAAGTGAGCTGCAGAAAAGGGTAGCTCCTGGTATTGGGAAGCGCTGTGATGGTGTATACTAATGTGGATGGAGTGCCATAAAACTGCTGTGTGCTGGAATAAGTTGTAATGCAATGCAGGATGTGTAAGATTCATGCTGTGTCTATGAGGGTAAAGGTGTAGGAAGGTTTACTGGATACAGGTTATTGGAGCCAAACGTAATCATCAATGATGTAATGGATTGCGGGGGCATGCATGCCAAGATTCATGGGCACAGCAAGAACTGAAGCCAGTATAATATATGTGTGAAAGGTACAGCTTCTTGTGTGTTAGATGTAAAGGGGTAAAGGGCATAGTGTATACATAGTCAGTTTGAAGAAAAAAAAAACAAGTCAGTGGAGTTCAACCAAATAAAATGTCAGCCCAGTGTAATGGGGCAGAATAAAATGTATGCTATTTCTGAGGGAGCCTCTCATAATGTGTGGTGGGCAGTACTTCTGATATGGGGTACAGGCTAGAGCTGCAGCTAACGATTATTTTCAAAATCTATTAGTTAGCCGATTATTAGGTTCGATTAATCGGTTAATCGGATAAACAATAAAATAAAGTTTAAAAAAAGGCTCCAGTGATGGGACTACTAGTTTTGTATTGAGGTTGTAGTCCATCACAGGAGCAAGCTTGGAGCGGTGGAAGTAAAAAAGAAAGATAGTGTGGTGTGATATATACAATAATCGATTATAATCGATTTATGTCGATTAGTTGTTGCAGCCCTAGTACAGGCATTACTCCTGTACTGGGCCCGGCTCTCAAGAAAGAGTGTGTGTTCATGTACGTAAACAGTGAACACTAATGCTGGGGGATTATCATTGATGTGGCTCCTTTACTTTGCTATTTTCCTTATTTGACAAGCCTATATTTTGTTTGCAAACCATACGTCTTGAAGTGATGCCCTCTCTTTTTTTCCTGGCCTTGCCTCCACGTGTTGGCTGCATTTTTCTACTTGATACCTCCAAGGTGACCCTCCTGACTATGCAGGCATATGTTAGTGCTTCTTATTTCAATTTTGTTGGGGGGGTTTTTGTCTTTATACCTTGAATGTTTGCCTTCTGGTCCAAAAGTTTGTGACCAATTGTTTGAGGGGGTCTGTTAAAAAAAAAATATGGTGTGATTTTGTGGATGTGGCTACAAATTGGGACATGCTTTTGTGGGTGTGGCTGCAAGTGGAGGGTGGATTTGTGGGTGTGGTTAAACGTAGGCATGGTCAATAGGGTGTCCCCGGATTTGATAAAAAAATCTAGCATCCTTTGAGGTTGGTTTGACCATAGAAGACAATCAAGATCTGCATTATTATTATTGTTATTATTATTATTATTATTACTATTATTATTATTATTATTACTATCTTCAGGATTTCTCTGAAGACCAGCAGACATCCTACCTTGCCACATTCCATCTGCATGTATTCTCCACATGTCTTTTCTCTGTCTGTGGTCTCCACATCTCTTCTTTCTGAACTCATTCAGTCACTTTATCTCCTGCTGGACCTGAATTGGTAACAGATGTATCCCATCACTTCCCAGTTCCCTTTTAGTTCTGCCTTCTGAGACCTTCTCTTTCCCCGATTATATCTTCTTATGGCTGCAAGCTTTGCATTAGCACTGCTCTATTAGCAGCCTGCCCGGGAGTCTGATGAAAGCAAATGGACACATCTCGTATTAAGGTTTTCTCACTATGCTGTTTGAAGTATAGTGTCCACTGTTTAGCAGGCAAGCAGGAGAAAATAGAATTGGACATTGATTTTTATCTCGCATGTAACCCTTGAAAGGATTTCTTTATATGAATATGAAAACTATGTGCACATATGCACTATGCTGAGCAGTATTTCAGGCCTGGAATCTTTTTATCTAGTCGCCTGATATCAAGAATATTACCAAAATTTTAAAGCGGCCCATATTGCATAACTTTAATGCAATAGCTAAATTATTGAAGGTGGTTTCCACTTGCCTTAGAAATCCTGTTCATCTCAAGTGCATCTTCCTTTTGGAAATGTTCTGTTATGCTGGTTAAAAATCAATTTTTCATCCCCAGAGAACATCATTCACATCATTATACACATTTTACATCATTTTTATGAACTGATTTATGTAGAAAGTTTTATACCTCTCATGACAACATGACAAAATATATAAATCTTTCAAGGGATTATCGGAACAGAAGTTATTACCACCAATAGATATTAAAAGCAGATCTGTTTTAAAAATAACTAACCCCCCCCCAAAGTTGCACAGCATACTGTACTATATGTAACTGCTGATGCCAATGCTTACTGCCCCCAGTACTGTCTGCTGCTTTGATCACTTTCAATATTCTGCAATGATCTGTGCAAATATAAATTTTTCCCTAAAGGCTAATTCCCATAGGTGGATTAAGTCTTTTAGGTTTCTTAGAGTGTCACATGATTCCTGATATCAGCAGTTTATTTGAACCCCGTCATGGTAGAATACATTGTCACTTCCATTTACAACTTTTAAATTGTCCTGCTTATCTTAAATTTCCATTGCATGGTAAATCACTGGTCCAAAACAGTTAGGGCTCTTTCACACGTGCGTTGAGACTTGCCCGCACGATCAACGCTTATTAACGCACCTATAGCGTTAACAAGGCATTAGCCAGGTGTTTGCAAGGTGTTAGGGAGGCATCAAAAACGCTAGGAAAATGGCCTTCCCCAAAAAATTATGAAAAATTTATAAAATAATAATTAAAAATAAAATGTATA